GCCAGGCCCCATCTAGGACGGAGTTTTAAATAAGATTTAGGTATAAGATAGTTGTATTTCTCAGAGATTTTTAACTGGCTTCATACACCAGTTATGAATTTGTTTGAGGAAAAATTTTCGGTCTACTAACGTAGGTCTTGTATTTATAATTAATGGTGTAATGTAGGGATCAGTTATTAATATGCCCCCCAGTGGCACAGCGGCATGTCTGCGGACTTACAACGCTAGAAACCGGGGTTTTGATACCCATGGTGGGCAGAGCACAGATAGCCCATTGTGTAGCTTTGTGCTTAACTTCAAAGCGAAAAGTTATTAATAGATGTCATTATAAATACTCCTAATAGAGTTTAATTCAATTTAAGAGTAAAAATATTACTTATTCACATTAATTATTTCGCGACCATGCATGTTGTATTACCAGGTACTATCAAAAATGAGGAAATCTGATGAAATACCAATAAATTTTATATTTGATGTATTATTGTATATTTTATTGAAGAAAGGTCCTACTAATAACATATAATATGGTCCTTGGAATAGAAATAATGGACTTGTCAAGTACACCTCTATCGTAAGAATTATTTGATTATTTTAGTCCAAAGCAACATGCGCTTTATCCACTGCAAGGAATTGAACCTCGAATTTTAGCGTTCTAAATGTATAAACTTACCGCTGACCAACTGGGAGACTCTGTTGTGAGCAAAGGGTTAAATTCTCATTTATATATTTTTTTATTTTTCAACACTTAGGTTGTTGAGTTTGTTTGTTTATTTTTAATTATGCACAAAGCTACACATGGGCTATCTGTGATCTGCCCACCACGGGTATCGAAACCCGGATTCTAGCGTTGTAAGCCCGCAGACATACCGCTGTACCAATGGGGGGCAGGTTGTTGAGAAAGAGAACACACACTAATTTGTATTGGTTCAATGTATTATTTTGACTTATTATCGATCTTTAACATGATTCACATTTATCTTACATAATATAAATGTGATATAAAAGAAGAAAATGATTTTAATCGTTTTCGGGACACTCCTAAATAATTACGGAAGACGATCGTGCAGTATATGACACAGAGTAACAATGGTGGTAGTAGTTTCAAGGATGACGAAGAACAAACATAACATTTTATTTTTATGCACGTTTCGGATTATGACATATTATTCATCTTCAACAGTTTGTTAAAAAAAGTTAAATATAATTCATTATGTTCTGAAACAGCATGAAAGACAGACTCATTTATGACGTATATGAAACAAAGTCATTTACTAATACGGCAATGAACAGCAAAAACATGTTTTTATTGTTATACATGGAATAAACATACTTCATAACCAATAAAATATTCTTGTAAAAACACAAACTGACGATGGTTTTGAGAGTAGACCGTTGTTTCCCAAATACGTACAACATTTCTTTCATAATAAGTTCCCCGATTCAACTGATAATTTTGAAGATGTCAATCTTTCCTCAGTATGTCCGGCGAATAATGTTCCGTTTTATCAACTGTAGCTTCACAATTACACACGACAGCAACATTTTAGACATTAAGACTAAAGAGGTTGTTTTTTTTAAGCGTCTTACATTTCAAATATTCCTTACTTCAACAAATAATACTTACAAATAAAAATGAGAAAACACATAATAATGTACAGGCAGAATTATATCCATTTCAAGGACTAATTTCCACTGATAACCTTGCGTTCGTGGGTATCATAAATTAACACACGTGAGCAACAGTGAACCATTAACCTACACAAAATTAATCTCCATTTTCTCGCACGTGATCATTAACATCAGTGGGAGCTTCAATTAAAACCGGTTTGAAACGTCTGAGCCTTTAATATTTATGGATGTATGCATTCTTAGCCTTGGCAACTTCCATGTCATTAGCTCAGGCAAGTGTAACATTGGAGGACATATCCACGAAACTCTCATTACAGTAACCATTCACTTGCACCCAGTAATACAGTGATCTCTTGTGAGTTGAATTAACTATTTTAATTTATTTATGGTTTCATGTGATTATTTGGTTGTTGTGAAAACGTTCCAGTAAGAAACACAGATTCACCGACGTTTTCATCTTCCACATTTAATTACATTTAGAAGATTTGATGTTTTTAAGATTTAGTGTATCTACCAACAGCACTATCAAATGATAAATTGTACTAATATCGTCTGTGTTGTGAGACAGTTACGAAGCTTCGTAATAAATTTACCATTTAAAATGTCTAAAAAGAGATACTGCTAGAATCCACTCTTTGACTATGACACATTCAAGTAACCATAGTTTATCCGCAAATGAGAATTTGTACTTGATTGAAATACGATACTTCCGGAAGATATTTCTGTTTCCTTAAAACCAAATAAATAAATAAAACAAGTTTTCTAAATAATATGAGTGTCGTAGCTTAGCATTTTATGAGAGGGTGTTAAATATAGATTATTTACTTAAGTTCAAACAGGACTTATATACACTTTTGGATGTTTGAAGTACAGTTTCATAAGCTCCAATATCAGAGCGCAGTAGGCTTAATAAAATGGCTTTTTGATATTGTCAAATTGAACAATTTACATCAAGACATTATGAGAACTAGAAGATTTTTAATTACTATTTAGTATTTTCATTAGGCTGGCGCGCAATAGAACCTAGAGGATTTATACAAAAATTAAACACCATTAAAATACAACGTATCCAAGCGCATTTATATTGACATTCCATGTGTTTGTATCTAAAGGGATTTAAAAAATGGGCCTGAATAAGAGTTCTTTGGATACCGCGCACCTTACCCTCACCTATTCTTTATCATACATATTTACAACTATTATATTTTAGCGTTATGACTTTTCAGACTTTTCGCTGAGCATTAAAACTGTATATTAATATCTTGCAGATACGTTTTTGTTTATAATCCTAGAAGTACATATCCAATAGGCTGATGATGGATATCTTACTTTATCTCAAATTGTGGCATTGTTTGAAATAGTTTTATACGCTGTTTGTTTCAATAGTGAGATGCTCAGAAGATGAAGAACGGCTCGTACGTGACCTCTTCCGGGATTACAATAAACTAATCCGACCAGTAGAAGTCACGAATAGGACTGTGAATGTGAGTTTTGGGCTCTCTTTCATCCAGCTCATTAATGTGGTAAGCATTTCAACAAACGATAAGTAAAATAATGTTAAACTTACACATTTAATTCTGACAGAATACTTAGGTGCTTAATGATTAAAATTGTTAAGCACAATATTAATTTGAAGTATTATTTTAACTGATCTTCTACCAGGGTAATTTAGGGAAAAATGCAATTCACATTAATTCATGATTAATTTAACATCAATTCTGAAAAAATACTGAAGTGCTTAACAATATCAGAATGTGCAAGTTTTAATGAAAATAAAGATAACGTTTTATGACGATTATGTTTAGCAGCTTATATTGAAGGTGTACTGCAATTCTCCTCAAATTATGTCAAACTTTCTTAAAGAATTGCCTAAATCAGAAATACTACATAATGTTTTAAGTATTTCTAAGGTATCCTATTATCTATAATTACATCTGCTTGGCCAAGTGGTTAGGGCGTTTGACTCGGAATCGACCTTTCACTTATAATGTGGCATTATAATGTGACGGCCAATCCTACTATTCGTTTGTAAAAAGAGTAGCCCAAGAGTTGATGGAGGGTGGTGATGGCTACTTGCCTTCCCTCTAGTCTTACACTGCTAAATTAGGGACAGCTAGCGCAAATACCCCTCGTGTAGCTTTGCGCGAAATTCAAACCAATTACATGTAACTCACAGCTCAGCGCTTCAGCTGTTGCCCGTCAGTAACTTATTAGAACATGACAGGCAATGTTGCACTTGTTCCTCATCTCTTAATATTAGGAAAAAATTTACCTCATACATCTATTTTATATGAAGTTCTAAAGAGTGATTTTATTTTTAAGGATCACCTGACTCGAGATAGAATGATCTAATGATTATAGAATGATTATGTCTATATTAATATACAATCATTATTGGTTAATCATGTAAATTGGTTTTAAACAACTACTCAACACCTCTTTGATTCAACTTACTTTCACTACAATGCCTCAACTGTTAACCATATTCTACATTAGTTTTAGAGAAATAACTATTTAACAAACATTAACTAATACTGTCTGTTTTGATTTGTTTATTTTAAAGCACAATGTTACACAATGGGCTATCTATTCTGTGCCTACCACAGATATCGAAACCCAGTTTTAACGTTATAAGCTTTTAGACTTACCACTGAGTCACGGGGGTGGAGCTAATATATTGAAATTAACTTTACCATATATATCATATTGCAGCATTCTTTATCTTCAGGAGCTGGCTCTAAATATACAGTACAAACCGTTGCGACCTGAAATGCTGAGAAAAGAAGAATCAGTTCTGTATTTGCATGAAAGTTGTTTGGTTACAATAACCTCAAGGAACATGAAAAGTTAAGTGTTTAGGTAGATGTACAGGGAATGAAACAGATCATGTGGATGTAAAGGGAATAAAACAGATCATGTGGATGTACAGAGAATAAAACAGATCATGTGGATGTACAGGGAATAAAACAAATCATGTGGATGTATAGGGAATAAAACAAATCATGTGGATGTACTGGGAATAAAACAAATCATGTGGATGTACAGAGAATAAAACAAATCATGTGGATGTGCAGAGAATAAAACAAATCATGTGGATGTACTGGGAATAAAACAGATCATGTGGATGTACTGGGAATAAAACAGATCATGTGGATGTACAGAGAATAAAACAAATCACGTGGATGTACTGGAAATAAAACAGATCATGTGGATGTACAGAGAATAAAACAAATAATGTGGATGTACAGGGAATAAAACAAATCATGTGGATGTACTGGGAATAAAACAGATCATGTGGATGTACAGGGAATAAAACAAATCATGTGGATGTACAGGGAATAAAAGAGATCGTGTGGATGTACGGGTTGGTGAGTTCTTGAGTGCAAAGCTACATCGTGGGCTATCTGCGCTGTGTCAACCGCAGGGAATCGAACCCCTAATTTTAGCATTGTAGAAGAAACAAAATGAAAGAATAAAAAAATACAAAATGTATAATTGTTAAAGCTTTATCTCTGGAAGCACAGTTTATCAATAGCCTTGTGCTCGTGCTTATATTATTCACATATGTATGAGTTAATTTTAAGTTTACCTACTTTGGAAACACTATGTCCGTGCACTTGGGAGATTGTTTTTCAAAACCAGTTCCAAACTATCAAACTCTTGCATCACTAACATTCCTATACGCACAAAGAAAACATTAACCACCAAATTTATTTTGATATCTTCAGTTACTAAGTCTACCAATTCTCATTTGAATCTCTTAAAGAATCTCTGCCAATATGAAAATACGTTCTACTTCAGCTCAGTTAAACCTGTTTTAATTCGTTCTTAAACATGTCTGATGACTGGTTGGCCTTCTTTATTTAGCACTTTTAAATCTGAAATTGCTATGTCTGAAACTTACAAATCTCTGAAGAATCCGTCTATTATGAAAATGCAAAGTTCCACAATCCTAAAGAATAATGAGATTATTTTGTTGGTAGCCACAGTATTATTTTATAATCCGTATGCAACCTACGTTATTTATGGACATATTAAGTGATCTTGTGTCAAATATATTACAGCCGACTTTGCTTCTGCGATAATTCGGAACGTCACGATTTATGTTATGTTTTCAGTGATAAATGTTTCAGATGAATTATGTTGTAATTTGATGTGCCTCGTACTTTTATTTGCTGTGATGTTTATCTTCATTCTTAAATTACAAATATCTGCAGAAGAATTAGTTTCTTCATTCCACCACGTCTCAACTGTTAATAATTTTCAATTCCAGTTTCATAGAATTATATAACCAGTATTATAACTTTAACTTGATGCATGACATTTCAGCCACTAGTTTCGTTTTTCACAGATTTTAAACAATTGCCGAATTAATACTTATTTAAAACTGTTTTACTGCAAGCCGCTATAGTTATTAATCACATCCTAATTTCATTTAAAGTAAGTGCCTTTTATATAAATTTAACTTATTGCAAATTGTTTTATGCTTGTGATACCACTCCCAATTCATTTCAAAGATTTATTTAGCTTATATCTAATTAACTTTATAATAATTTACGCATTTCTACTTTTTACAACTTCTCACAAACCTAATTAAATTTTACTTACTAGGCAACATCGCACCTGCAATATATCTTGTGTTTTTAAAAGATGACTACACTATCTTGTTAAAACCATGTTACCTAAATACATGTTAGATGATAATAATATTCTTAAAAATTCTATTTTCTGATTAAATCAAACCCATTACACGATTTTTGGGTGCTGGTCATCTGCCTTCCAACGAACGTTTAAAGAAATACTCTGCCTTTCTAGTTACATTAAAGTCTGTAAACTGACTTTTTACTAATCATTTAATAATTTACTTTCAATTGTTTTTATTTTAGTTTGGGCAAAGCTACACAACTGGCTATCTGCGCTCTATCGAACCCTGGATTTTAGCGTTGCAAGCTCGTAATTTTACTTTCTATAATTATCTATTTGATTAAATTGAATTTAGTACTCGACTTTTTGAATAATAGTAATCGTACTTAATTAAAAAAATACTAAATGTTTCGACTTATCTACTCTTTAAATAACTGTGCCAGAATGTGAATCCAAGAGTCCATGGTTCGCACCCCGTAACTTCAAAAATAGTGCCCCGCATTTTAGATCCTGGATGCGTTGTCAGAGTGACAGTTAAATCCCATTCCCACTATTTGATTAGAATAGCTTAAAAGTTTTATTTTTGTTTGAAATTAAGCACAAAGCTACACAATGGGCTATCTGTGCTCTGTCCACCACGGGTATCGAAACACGGTTTCTAGCGTTAGTCCGAAGACATACCGCTGTGTCACTGGGGGGCTAGTTTAAAAGTTGGTAGTGGTGTTGTTGACTAGTTGCTTTTCCTCTAGTCCGTTAGTTCAAAATTAGCCCAAGTAGCTGTTATGTAGTATCGCATGATTATCCGAAACAAACAAACAATCTAACTGATTACTATCTATAGTTAAGTGCAACTGATACTCTAAAGTTCACGTGATAACTTACTGTTTTATTAAGATGTGATCTTACAAAGTAATGTTTATATTTTGTTACGGATTCAAACTTTCAGTGTTTATTTAAAATCAGAGAGTTGTTTATTCGTAAAAAATTATGAATATCTAGGCAAACAGAGGTTTTTAATGCAATATGCAACCTAACAGAATACCTTTTATTAAGAAATTAAACTATTGATAGAAATAAGTTAAAACTGTTAACTATTTAGAAATATCCATTTCAGTTATTTTTAGTAAATTTGTTTTAATGACAAAAATTTAGCTTACTACACTTTACATAGTTTTTTTAGAACAGGGTATGTATTTCTGATATAAAATTTCGCAAACCAGTGAGTCTTCTGCATTTTGGAACGTTCTTATACATAGTTAGGGTAATGAAAAAAGAAAACATGGATCTAGAGATTATAGTTTAAAAATCCACCCCCCCCGAAAAAAATTGTTGATTGAAAATTAGGAAAAATATTAATTTCTGTATCGTTCTACTTCAGATTTACTTTCTTTTATTTATACGCTCCTAATCTAGAAATAATTTTGAATCGATATAGCATAATCAAAGCCGGACTGACCTGATAAGTCTGCCCGACTCGCACGCAATCTGCGGGTCGCGGGCTCAAATCTCCGTTACCGAACATGCTCGCCCTTTCATCCATGGGAATATTATAAAGTTACGGTCAATTCAACTATGCTTTGTAAAAAATTAGCCTAAAAGTTGGCGGTGTTTAATGTTGACTAGCTACTTTCCCTCTAGATTAGGGACGGCTAGCGCAGATAACCTTCGAGTAGCTTTGCGCAAAATTCAAAGCAAACGAACTGCTCCCCGGTCACCTCCTGAGCGTAATTGAGACAACAGTTTATAGAGTAATAAACAATGGCTAAAATACCCTCATAGTAACCAGTACCTGAATAATAATAATAAATTAAGCTCTACTTGTGTGCAAACCACGCAAATCAACGTAGAAAGTGTCACGTAATTCGCTTAAAATATAAAAAACAAATTCATTAAAGTAATATATAAACGTCCATAATTCTTACTGTACTTCTCAGGTGCCAGGATGTTAAGTAGATTGTGTTAAACTGTATCGTTTAACTCCTCATATGCATTAGTTTATGTTTAATAGAAAATATATATATGTTCATTTAGGCATCGCTTTCAGTTTTTACAAAAGAGCTTTTGTATCCATATGTTTACATTTTTCAGTGTATTTTAGTTTGATAAATCCTGCAAAACTCTTTGCAAACCTCGAAAATTTCCATAAAAATACATTTTGTATAATAGGAAGAAAAAGTACCAATAATAATTCTGTATTCTACAAATCTAGTAAATAAGAAATATTTAATACTTCACGAAAAAACAACAACATTATCTCCGTAGTAAAAAAAAAAAACGGATATTTGAAGTATACCAACTTACGTTGTTACATATACTTACAGAACGAGAAGAACCAGATAATGACGTCCAATGTTTGGCTACAACTGGTAAGTTTGTGGAAACAGAACGTGTTCTTTTATTAATTTAAAGTTAAACATTAAACATGCAGGATTCGTCTTTAAAGGTTTTAATATTGGAAGTAAGTGTTATAGTAAAAATTAATTCAAAATATCTCATTCTCAACTTCTGGTTTAACTTATGCTCTAATTGATATAACTTGTGTTTATCTATCCAAGTGGATCTACGTATTGAAGTAATATACGTAAAAAGTTCCTGTGCTGATGTAACTGTGTATTTCAGTGTTACCCATAAAGTCTCCTACCCAAGTACAGCGTTATTCCAACTGGAATCCCGATCCAAAAGGGAGAGTCGCGAAATCATAAAAAATATTGCGATAACGGATATTTCAGAGTATGGTCAGTGATTTGCTATCACTTTGTGTGTATGTAGTGGAGGTAGTCACAGCCTGAAATACTTTTAAAGGGGGTCTCAGGAAAAAAGTTTGAGAACCCCTGCCCTAATGTAACTATGTATTTCACCATTACATGTAAAGTTTTTCTTTTCTTAGTGTTAGTATGTATTTCATTATTATACGTGAATTTCTCCTCTACCTAGTGTAACATTTATTTCATTATTATACGTGAATTTCTCCTCTTCCTAGAGTAACTATGTATTTCA